ACCCTCTGAGTAAAAAATTTCTTCCAAATATCTAAATCTCTAATTCAAACGTCCCCTGATTTAATTTAACAACTAGTAATGTCAGAGTGAACTGTTTTTTTTAGAAGCTCAAATTCAAAAACAATGCTAGGATGCATAAGAGTAGCTAACTGTAAATTAAAACAGGCGTGGGCTGAATGCTTTCAGATACTCTTTGTTGTGCTGGAACAAAGTGAGGCTGGGCAGTGGAGGAGAACTGTATGCAGACCCCTTCATGCCTAACACCAACCTATTCACTGCAGCCATGCACCCATGTGGTGTGGATGGCTGCTGTCTGCAGTGCTTTTTTTCCATGTGGCTTTCAAAAAATGGAGGTAAATGCAATTCAAGGCCCCAGGCAGCCTAACAGAACTGACCAGCTGTGATTCCCTGTTTGTGCACTGGCAGTGATGCTGGTTGTGGAAGTATCTGAATGGCAGCAGGGCAGCGCGCAGGGGCACAGGCATCTTGTCAGTGCTAGGAACTCTGAGGGTGCCTACAACAGAGCCTAAACAGAAGACCTCGATGGTGAAAAAAGCTTAAACACAAATGCAAGCAACTCTAAACTGCCTGGAAGGCCAGAATGTGCACTTTGACACACACACTGTGTGCCTGCAGGATGGGGAACAGGAGCTGGCTGGACTTGACTTTCCTGATTTATTGCTTAAACCTGAATTACTTACGCTTTTTAGGTAAAAAATCATGCCTATGGGAATGTTGCTCATAAATACCTATTTGCAGGATAAGGAACACTTTAGCAGAAAACAGGATTTACTCAGGCTGCATTTAACATTTGTACTATCCCAGTTAATCCTAAATGTTGCAAGCTGTAGCGGAGTATTTCTTTTTGCCTAGTTGTTCTTTTCCACTCTATATCCTGATTTCCTACTGTAAAGCAGCTTATGCCCGTTCATTTGCAATGCTGGCATTCAAAATTTTGTCTGGCTGGCAGCAGCAAAACTTCATTTAGCCTTCTCCTCGGTGTAAGAATTGGGTTTGGCATAAAAACATTTAGTAGCAAAATCCACTATGTTGTGTTGATTCTTTCATTGTTCTATTGTTGTTTTTCCCCTTGCATTCAAACATTTTGAGAAAAGATACACACCAACACTTGCTTGTTCACTCTGGGAATTGCTTTCCCTGTTTAAATGACCGTCCCTGTCTGCCTGAGTGGACACCTAGCAGGTCAACATGGAAGAACCAAGCAATTCAGAATTCTTATCCATACCACCCTGTTACTAGAATGCTGATTTAACAAAAAATGCAATGGTGTTAAAAGTATTTTCTCCATTTCCCTTCTCAAAAAAGAACCTGAAAGTGATTAATCAGACTGCAGGTTTGACGCTGACCTGACATTGTTAAATGAAATCAAATAAGCCAACAGTCCTGTTACCACAGCTACAAATCTTTAATACCGAGTTAATGTGTTAGCTGCATCTCTAGTTTTGTGAATACATCTTCTATTATCTTAGTCAAGGCCTAGTTACTGAACCAAAAACAGAGCACAGCTGGGACGTGGGAGACATCGGCTCATTTCTCTGTCTGTCAGCTGTTGCTGCGAAGGAATCTGTTTGCCCCAGTTCCATACCAGAGAAATAATAGTAATTGATCTGTTTTTCATATGTTTAGATTTAAGCTGCTTTTTGCTACATGTCCATCATCTCTGACACACTGGTGGTGATCTGATGTTACTCTCGCCATGTTTCATCAACAGGGTTGATGTCTCATCATTACGATTGGGTACTACAGGATCCACCAAGGTGCCAGAGTTTAGGAGGACTGGAGGTTGAAGTGGCTGTAAGTGATATTCTGAGCACTCTGAATGCACGCAACATACCTCAAAAATGGGATCAGAAATCTACAAATAATGTTTAATTCTAGTTAAACATGATAAACCTAAAGAAGGAGCGTGGTGCATTTCTCACTTCTTTTGAAGCAATTCCAACTTCTCTCTCTCAAATGTTTAAGGCACTGATTAAATCTGCTCACTGGAGCAAATAAAGAGGCACTATGTGATATAACAGACAAGCACTGACTGCCTGTTTTGACTCCAGTGATCCCAGTTGGAGAAGAAAACAAGCTGGGTATTGTTCTGTATGGCAGGCTGGCCATTTACTCTGTGCTGTGTAAAACATGGCATATTTCTTCTGCCCCTGCAGGTGAGTAGGTTTCTTCCAGAAAAATATCTGAGAGAAAAAGGAAGGGGTATGCTGCTGTTCTCCTTGACAGGACAAAGATATCCTGATTTAGAAAACTACATTCATCTCCATGTCAAACAGACATGTTTGTTGGAATAGAGTATTTAAATCTCTGCACATAAGTCTGAACTGAGCTAACAGCTTCATTCCTGTTGAAAAGCAAAAGTATTATCATATATATATACCATATATTTCTCATTTTCCAACTGTATGAAAATATACATATACTTATTTCTGACAAAAATTGGTGTCCAGTACTAATCCTCTTAGTGCAAATATGTGGAATAATGACAACTCCAGATTAGATTTTTATGTACCTGATAGAACCACCAAAATAAAATTCCCATATCTCTGACTTGCCCACTGACTAGATGAAATTCAAAATATGGCCTGAATAATATATATATATTTATTTATACAAGTTGAATATTCAAATGAAGACTTTATTTTGGGAGATAGAGAAGGGCAGCTGTAGAATATACAAGGTTAAAAAGTGATCTTCATTTACTCATTTCTCTTCTGTCTGCTAAGGATTCTGATTTAATTTGCAGTCTTGGGATTCATGCATGCACAAATTACTGTGAATGGATGTGTCTGTTTTAGATTAAGTGCAGCTTGCTTTGCAGAGATATAGATGGAAACCAGCAGCCCTAGCATGGATTACAGGAACTACAGATCATCCTGAGTGCAATCACACGGCATGTGCTTTGTGGCATCAATCAGGGAATCAGGGAATCAAGCCCAGCCAGCATGGGTTCATGAAAGGCAGGTTGTGCTTGACCAGCCTCATCTTCTCCTATGATGAGGCGACCCATCTGGTTCAGCAAGACCAAGTGCCAGGTCCTGCACTTTGGTTACAAAAAACTCAAGCAAAAGTATAGGCTTGGGGCAGAATGTCTGGAAGGCTGTGTGGAGGTCTTAGTTGATGTTCAACTGAACATGAGCCACCAGTTTGCCCTGGTGGCCAATAAGGCCAGTGGCATGCAGGGTTGCATCAGAAATAAAGCAGCTAGCAGGAGCAGGGAAGTGATCTTCCCTCTATCAGTTCTGGTGAGGCTGCATCTTGAGTACCAAGTTCAGCTTTGGGCCCTCACTGTAAGTATAGCACTGAGGCCCTGGAGCATGTCCAGAGAGTGGCACTGAAGCTGTGAAGGGTCTGGAGCACAAGTCTTATGGGGAGCAGCTGAGGGAACTGGGATTGTTCAGTCTGGAGAAGAGGAAGCTCGGTGGAGATCTTTTCACCCTCTACAACTCCCTGAAAGAAGGCTGTTGACATGGTGGGAGTCGCTCTCTTCTCCCAGGTAACAGTGATAGGATGAGAGGGAATGGCCTCAAGTTGTTCTAAGGGAGGTTCATTAGGAAGATCTCTGAAAGAGTGATGAGGCACTGGCACAGGCTGCCCAGGGAAGTGGTGGAGTCTCTGTCCATGGAGGTGTTCAAGAACCCTGGAGATGTGGTACTTAGGAACAGTGTTTAGTGAGAAATATATGTATACATATATATTTCTTTTTTTCCCTAAGCAAAAAACCAAAATAATTTCAGCTATCATTTATTTCACTTTTGATGTGGGCATACAGCTTGAAGTTATTATCTGTACTTAAAAACACATGGCCCAAAGGTGCTGCAAAGGTGTTCAGAGCTGTGAGATCTGACAAAGAGGTGACTGTTATGCTGCTAAGGTGATGGTGATGCCATATGTAATATATTTCAGAATAGTGCTACTTCTTATTACATCCTAAACACACTGAAGAATCAGTTGTAAGAATCAGTTAGCTTGTACTTAACATAAAGGTGCAGAATATCTTTTTCCTGCTTGTGAAAAAATGCATTTTTTTTCTAGTGATTTATCAATTACTTTCTATTACTACTTGTCTGAAAATACTCTTAAGCCTTCTGAAGTAGGAATGTATAATGAAAGAAAAGGATTGTAGCAGCCTAGAGATGGAATATGTATGTATGCTGCATGCAGGCTCTTGTTACTGTGCTTTTCGTACCTCTTACAGTTTTCATAGAAATAAATGACCTACGTACAACGACCTTTATAAAACCAGCCCTTCCATAAAATACATCCCTGGCTTATCTATGTGACATTGATGTTAACTGCATCTTCGGGTAACCTTTAACCTGAAAACATGTGGAACATACAGCATGTTTTGTAACAAAGCAGCTTCTATAAAAGTAGCTGAGCTGTAAGGAAGTATTTAACGCTTTCCTGTCTAGATCATCCTCTAACAAATTTTGATGAAATATAACTGTCTTCTTCCTTTTTTCTTCTTCCTTTTTTTTTTCTTCTTCTTCTTCTTCTTCTTTTTTTTTTTTTTTTTAATTTAAATATAGGCATGGCAAGCCTTTGGGCCCCAAACTACAGCTGCTCTTATGTGATAGACCATTAGCAGCTCCCCTGGTACACTTTTTGAGCTTCCCCATTCTCCATCACCAATGGGCTGCTTATGGATTAGGGACGGTGAGCGGTTCCCCAGGGTCTACAGGGAAAGCACAAGAATTCAGGACAGCTTTAAAAATTACAGGAAAGTTTCCAGTACTCTCAACCTGCTCAGACTGAAGAACAGCATTTCTCCAAGCAGCTTGGATCCTCTCTGCTATCTGTATTTCTCCAGCTGGTACCACTGTATTGATAAGCATTAATGTGCTACTTATCAGACATCAGAACAAACCAAGGCAAGCCAATCACTTCCTTAAATCAGCAGTGTTTTCATAGAATCATAGAATGGCTTAGACTGGAAAAGACCTTAAAGATCACTCAGCTCCAGCCCCCTGCTGGGAGCTGGTTGCCACCCACCAGCTCAGGCTGCCCAGGGCCCATCCAACCTAAGCATCTCCAGGGCTGGGGCACATATCACCTTGATGTCTTTCCCACAGATATGGGCACGTGAGTATTAGGTCTCCCCACAGCCATCTCTTCTCCAAGCAGAAGCAACTCTATGTTCTCTGCCTCTTCTCACAAAGTGCTGCAGCCTTGATTTTCCTGGGACCCTCTCGTAACTGCAGTCTAAAGTTAGGAACCAAGGTCCTTCTGGCACAGAGCGGTTAGGGGCAAAGCCAGGCACAGCATTCCAGCTTGAACCTTAGAATTACGAAGTATAGGAGTGCAATCACTGCCCTCCAACTACTGGCTGTGCTCCTGTTAGATCAGCTCAAGATGCTCATAGCATTTTTTTCAGGAAACCATCCAGAAACAATGCATTCAGGATAAGCACTAATCAACACCAGTTGCAGTTTGTTTTCTTCCTGAGCAATGTTTCCCGTAAACCAGCGGGTTTTGCCAAACAGTGTTTGAAACAAGTAGCTGAAATGCCAAACCTCCTTAAAGAGCACCTGCGTTACTTCAGTTCCAGAAGTTACACCGAGGGAGCTATTACCACTTTAAATTTCAAGCCGTGCAAGGCCTTCTAGAAATACTCAGGGTTTTTTTAGTGTTTGCCCTCGCGCTCCGCCACCAGCGCCGAGCTCGGGTCAGCGGCGGGCCGAGGCCGCTCCGCTGGGGAGCCGCGGGCGGGGCCGTGACGCACGCCGGGCTCCGCACACGCGTGGCCGTGCCCCTTCCCGGCCGCGCCGGTCTCTGCTCTGCTCGGGGGCGGCGGCGCTTCCCGGCCGCACCCGCCCCGCTGGGCTAAGAGCCGCGCTGAGCGCTGCGGCAGTGCGGAGCGCTCTCCAGGTGCTGCTGGGGCGTTTGCTCGCCGCGTAGGATTTCCCCCGGGTGCTTCTGAAGGTATGTATTTTTGTCGCGGGGGATGATCAGAAGGGCCACGTTTTCCCCTGGGGGATTGTACAGTGAAATAGAAAATCACTGTCTTCGAGGATAGCCGGTTGTTAGAAGTGGCACAGTAACTCCTTCCGAAGGTGGGATTATGGAGAGGTCTCGTTTCTGGCAGTGCTGAGGGTGCGTGGTGGTCCCGGCGGCACTGGGGGCTCGGTGGTACCTGGGTGGGGCTGAGCTGGGATGCTCTGTATGACGTCCCTGGGGCTGTGTGCTGCAGGGCCCTAGGGGTCAGGGCAGTGTCTGCGTAAGGGAGGAGGTACGTCACTGCACCAGAAAATATTTTTTTGTCAGCTTGCAGGTCATTAAATTCCATCTTGAAAAGCTACTTTGTTAATTTTGACAAAACAACAACAACAACAACAAAAACCTGTTTAATGAAGTAAACAGGATGATTTTTAAGTCTAGTCTTTTGAAGTCTAAGTCTAGTCAAGGTTAAAATCCAGTATTTGAACCGTGATAATAATGCAGTGATGGAAAGAGGTGCCATAAAGCTAGCTGGGGTGAACTAATGCTTGCCTTACGGCTATTTGGCTCCTCAAGTCTGTTTTCTAAACCACGTGCTTTTTCAGAAAGGGCCTGTTTGGGTCTGTAAGTGGCACTGTGCATAGTGTTCGTGTCTGGGGACACGTGTTAATGTGCTCTTGGCAGCATTGTGCACAGCTGGGTCAGAGATGGAGCTGGTGGTCACGAATGGAAGCAGTGCCGCTTTTCAGACAGAAAGCAGAAGCCCTGCAGTTAAGTGAATTAAGGGGTCTTGAAAGCAGTTGCATCATTGCTGCAGACGTGCATCAGGGTAAGATCTAGAAACTGAGGCTGTGTAATGCAGTTCTGAAAAGGAGTAAGGGGTGGGAAGGCAGCATGGGCATTGTGAGGCCCATTAAAAGGGGGTGGTCTCAGGGCAGTGTTCCCATGCCATTCTCTAAACTGGAACTGCTTTGTTCTGACTTCCTTCAGAACAGATAATTCCACAGTTTCCTTTCCAAAAGTTTTTTTGCTGACCTTAGGTGCCTGGGCTCAAACTTCCCCGAGAGGGAAAAATACAGCACCTTGCACCTCAGTGCCACTTCTGTGGTACTTGTTAATGATTTGAGAAAATAAAGAACAGGTTGGGTATGTTGTTGTTGGTTGACAGAGTTTAAGCTGTGGAAGCTCCTGAAGCATCATGTCAGAGCAGAGGGAGAAGCCTGGGAGCTCCTGCTGTGCAGGCAGGTGGGCAGCACAGTGCTTCAGGGCATGGGCAGTGAGTGAGGCTGCTGGGCCTGGTCCCTTTCACTCCTGAGGGCACGGAGCCTGTTCCTTCCACCCTTGCTTGGTGGCAGGACTGGCTCTGCCTGGAAATGTCAGGTTGCCCAGTGATCCAGAAACCATTTTCATGGGTGTCATTACTGGAGCCTGCCAGCAAAATCACTTCTGCTTTTCTCTGGGTAAACTGAACCCTGAGATGTCTCTCCTCTAGCAGGGGAGGATATTTATATCCCCTGTGAGCCCAGAGCTATGAACTCCCGTGGGAACCTCAGCCAGGAAAGGGCAGTGCTTGACCAGAACGGAAGAGGTCTTCCGGGTACATGGTCCTGTTCCCTGCCCTGGCCCCAAATAGCTCCAATGTGGGGCAGACCTGGAGCCCCAGCCAGGTCCTCTACTCTCCACAAGGATGTGTCATCAGCAGGGCTTTGTGGCACCCAGCATAGCATCGAAGGACCCTTAGAATCCTGGCATAACTTGGGTTGGGAAGGTTTAAAGCAACTGGTCTGCTCATTGCTACATTTTCATCACCAGGTGGGAATTTCCCCATGCACACGAGAGTGGCTGAACAATCTATTGTGTAATACAATTGAGAAAAATGAGATTTTGTTCCTTGTTCCTCTGGTACTTCAGAATTTTACATTATTTCACAATCGATGAAATCACACGGATGAAAAGCAAGGTGTGACTGGCAGTGCTGTGACATGGTAGCTGAATCACAGGTGGCAGAAGGAGTCTGGATAAAAAGCAATAGAAAAATAACGTTAGTGAAAGAAGTAATGTCAGCATTAGTGTTGTGTCTGATGAAATGGGAGGTGAATTTTGTAAAGCCTTTGCTAGCTGTAGAGCACATCTCAGTATTTCTGAATCATCAGCCACACAGAGGAGTGTGCAAGTGGCTGTAGGGAGAGAAAATATAAATAATATAATATAAAGGCTTTTTGTTGAATAATCATATGATTCTGTCTCTGCTTGACCTTTACTAAAGAGTTCAGTTGTAATTCTTAGTACTTTTCAGAAGTTCAGGTATGCAGAACATCTCACAGTGTGAGCTGATATATTGAAACTTGCAAAAGATCCATTTATGTATATATTTAAATCATCTCGAATTTGTGTATTCCCACAAGCTGGAAGTTTTATCAGCATATTTTAATATGGTCATATATTAAATGTGACACACCAGATTATCATCAGCAAGGACAAGGTTTAAGTAATGTAGTTTTAAAGCACTGTTTCAGATTTTTCTTTTATTTTTAAAGAAGATGCATTTTTTTCAGATTACCTTTTTAAAAAAATCTATGCACATACTGAACTAGAATCCAATTAAAATACATAAGCAGCATGGTATTTTTATTAGCAGGGTATGCTAGGAAAGAGGAAAAAGGATATAGAGAAGATCACTTTTAAAATTAATTTATTAAACAAAAAGGATGTTGTGTGTAAGCTGGGGAGTGAGCTGGATGCTACATTGCCCCACAGCCGTTCAGCATCCTCTTATAAACTTTTGCTGTGTGAATGAGAAACAGGAAATAACTCCTTTCAGATTAAATTCCCAGTTTTGTATGAGTGTCTTTGCTGAACTTAACTAGCTGGATGAACTGTAACAGGCAAAATGTATCTGTAGGTTTTACTGCATTCTTTTGCTTATTCAACTCCTTTTGGAAGCCCTACAAGAAGGCAAACAGCTGGCCCTTTTGTTGCTGGCAGTCTGCTGTGGATGCTCACTCACCTGTGCTAGCCCATCTCTTATCATATATGCAGTTTTTATCTTCATGTATAATATCTAGCAGGGCCACTTGAAAAGTGAAACAGCATAAGATTGATTAGTGGCAGCTGCTTCAGGATTTACCCAAGCAGGTTTTGTTGGACGCATGGATAACTAAACTAATTGCTCTGAAATTACTGTTATACTCGTTCATATGAATTGCACGATGACTTTGGATAGTTGCACAATGTCATCCTGTGTTGCAGTTGAATTAATGATGCTTTCCAACAAATTGAACATGGTTTCAGGATACACAAAGCAGGAGTGCATCAGGCAAAGGCAATGCAGGGTTATTTCATGGTGGAGGTCTGGCCCAGGAGGAAGCTGAGATATTCAGTTATTTAAGCTTCTATTTGTAATTCAGCAGTCCCATATAATTTAGACATTCAGATATCTTTTACTGCTAATTAATAGAGAATGGTGAGTGGCCTTTGTGTGAAATTGTATATTCAAAAACCAATAAATAAATATGTTGTTTTGCAGAACGGTTACAAGCAGATCCATAGCAATGCAAGGTGAGTAAAACAGGCCAGTGTTGTGTTAAAGATAACATTCTTTCTTAAGTATTCAAGCAATGTTAGTTTAGATATAAATTTGCCTAATAATTTTAGGAAAGATGTCTGAATGTTTTGAATTCAAATATTAAAATTTTAATAATTTACACAATGTTTTCAAATCTTGAATCATCTTGAAACCTAGGCTACTTCTGCTTACACTCTGACATCGGTAAACGTTACTGAATTCATAACTCTGAAGTCAGCAGGTTAGCTGACAAATGAGCAGACTACTAGCAAGAAGAACTTGGGAGAAAAGTTTTATGTAGTGGAGAATGGGTTGTTGACCAGTCTGTTCTGTACAGGAGTGCAGCCTGTCAGTTCCTGGGCAGTTCTTTGCATTCCCTGTGAATGTGAATGAACAAAGGTCCCCGTGGTCCAGATGGACAGCGAGCTGACCCTGCTTGGCAGGGCTTGGCTAGGTGACCTCTGGGTGTGCCTTCCAAGCCAAACAATTGGAATCATAGTTCTGTGATTCTGTGATATTCTTCGTGATATACGTGACAGTGCAGTAACTGTCTTTTTTAAAGCATGCTAAGAATCAGAACTTCCTTAAATTATGTCATGCTTTAATACAGATTTTCAAGAGATAAAATACAAGCTCATTATGTGGTTTTTGCTGTTCAGGAAACAGCACCTTAACTTCTGTACACCTGCTCTGAAAAAAGAAGGCAGTGTTGGGGATCTTTCCCCTACCTGTGAGAGGAAATAAGTGAGAGCAGTACTCAAAGGGTGTGTTGCATTCTTACAGCTAATAACCCGGCACCAGCACCTGGATTCTCCAATACTGGCTATGCACCAGGAAACCAGGCCCCATATGGCCACCCGCAGTATGCAGCTGGGAACTTCTACGGTAGGTTGCCTGGCTACAGATCTGCTGTTTGGTTAGGAGATGTGCATGGGAAGCAGGAGGTTTCATCAAGGCAGCCGTCTCTGATTTACAATTCTGTATTAATTCTGTAATGTTTCTGTTAATATCTGTTCTGGTGGAAAGTCATACTCTTTCCTTCTCGGTGCTCCATGTTTATGTGTGCTGAGCAGTGCCAGCAGTGGAGGAAGTCTGCAATGCTGGCTGTTCCTCAGTGGTCGCTGGGGGTGAGTTTGTTAGGGAAGCGTTACTGATGCAACACAATTCATGTGTGGCAGCTTCTTGCTGATGATCAGATTTATTTTTTTTTAAATGTTATTTCAGTTCCTTAGTTTCTTTTTCTCTGGTAATCCAAAACTGCAGGATTGTTTTCCTCTCACAGTTCTGTCGTTTGCGTGGATCCTGTTTGTTTCTTTTCCTGCTGCTGTACTTTGCATGTGGTTGTACCTTCCATTTATTTCCTCTTTTTAATGTCGTTTTCTGCTCCCCGTTCAGAACAGAGCACTCACAAATAGCTTATCGCTTTGGCAGCGAACTGCTTTCTGAAAAGCCAGATCACACTGAACAGTATCTAACGGGCTCCAGGCATAAATTATTTATAAAGTGCAAAGCGTTTGGCTTAAGTTTCTGTGCTGTGCGTACATTAAATCTTGTACGTCTTTCAGCGAGGAAATCCGAGTTCTGTGAGTAGGCAGCCTTCAAGGAATGAGCACGTGCTCCCTGTGCCAGGGAGTGGCTGTCTTATCTGAGTGCTGCATGTGGTAACACACACTGATAGCCGTCAGCTCTGCAGGAGGGTGGGTCCTTATCTGCGGGGCTGTACGCCGCGCCTGCACGCACTGTATGGTTTATGGCCGCGGCGTCACCTTTCACGTGAAGCAGTTTTATGACAGTATGAGACACTGGTGCTAAGGGTAACCACGAGGTTACCAGCATCTCTGGAACCACTTGTCTTCGGGCTTTCTGCGAAAGTATTCGCGCTGGTTTCCCCTTGCAAGCTCCTGCGGGCTTCTGAGCAAAATGCAGAACTGTGCATCAGACCGGAGCCGTCACCAGTCTGCCGTGACGGCGATAAACGGGGGCAGCCCGCCCTTCCCGTTCCGCAGCTGCTGCTACCGACGTCAGAGCTCCCCGGCACCGGGCTGCTGGCGCCACCTGGCGGCGCGGCGGAGGGCTCCCTGCTGCGGGAGGAGCTGCTGCCGCTCCGGGGGGAGTCCTTCAAACAGTTCTAACTTCTTAATCTCCGTGTGAATAGTACTTCTGCTATGCTCAAGAGAGACGCGTTTGTTTATTTCATTTAGTTTTGTCTGGTGTGATTAGAGCATCCCAATCAGGCATAACTTCATGAGAGTTGCAATATCCCCATCTGAAATACGTTGTAGGTATGAGAATCATACCTACATAATCAAAATGATTTATGTGTTTTGAATGTCCACGATACAGTTCTTTTTTCAAGACCTCAGTTCCCTAACTGCATCTCTTCTGTCTCTTCAGGCACTACTCCAGCAGGGCCCTATGCTTACCAGGTACAGCCCATGGGAAACCCATCCGGAGCTGCTGTTCCACCCATCCAGAACCAGCCTCCTGGGGCCATCTGGATGCCCATCCCTCCTCCTATTCCCAACTGCCCTCCTGGACTGGAATATCTCACGCAGGTACCTGCACCCTTCATCCTTCCCCAGGAAACAGGTGGTCACTTGAGAAGCAGCCTGCACCTGGGAGAAAGCTAGAAAACACATCTGTCTTTATTGCAGCTGCACGAGTTGCTGCTTTTAGGCTGCTGTGTGAGGCCTCTTGTAATGTGAGTGATGCACATGTGAGTGTGGAAGTGGCTCTTACGGCCAGAGCACTTTGAGGGATACCCACTCTTGTTGAGTGCTATGCTAAAGGACAGTGGGCACAGAGCAATTGCATATCTTTACCATTTCTGAAGCTACTGTTTGTGGAATGTCAAGATGCGTCACATTTGTATGTATACATATATAGGCACCTGTAGCACAGTATATGAGCTTTCTTTCCTACATGATGCTTTCTCAGTGTCTCTAGTCAAACGTAACAAACTTAGAAAATGTTCGCAGCAAAACAAAAATTGCTCCCATGTTGCAGTATATATCACAGGAAACACCCTTTGACTGTAAAAGTGTAGTTTATCTCATCACTGGGAGCAAATACAAAGGCCTTATGCTGATGTTTATGGTTGTGCATATTTGTCAGAAAATAAACCAATACCAAACTTGGTGTTTCCTTAGTTTTCACTCAGAGCTGAGCAGTAGCTGAGCTTCTGCTTTAAAATTTTTGAATTTCCTCCTAGTGATTCCTGCTTTTCTCTGTGCAGACTCCTGATGCAGGCATCTGACATGGGGATTTCAGACTCTGTAGTGTTACTGAGTCACACCAAGTTGTGAAAGTAGCGTGTTAGACCTGCATGCCTGTAGCCAGACCAATCTGGGTACAGCTTCCATCATCTGCTCTGGTGCTTGTAACACTGTTCTGCTAAAATGAGAGAGAGACATGAGTCACGTCTGCAGCTTTACTGATAAATATAAATTTCTGAACAATGTATTGATCATTAACACTGTATTCTGAAATGAAACAATGCTTCTTAAAACTAAGTATCTCCTAGTTACAACTTGCTAACTATTTATTCTGTTTCATTTTTCAACCATGAACAGATTGACCAGATATTAATTCATCAGCAAATTGAACTTCTTGAGAGTAAGTGAAATGTTTTTATAGCAGAGAAATGTTAATAGTACCAAGAACTGTAAAATTTAGACCTTCTTTGATACGGCTTCTTTAAAATCCTTTAATGGATTGCCACCTCAGTTTTCCCTGCTTGTTATCATCTCAATTCCCAAAGAACTTATGGAGGAGAGAAGGGAACAGAAAAACAGGAGGCTAGAAGTGGATTTTTATCTGGTTCTGTTTATTGTAAGATAGACGTCAGTACTGTTTATCTCAGTTGTCTTTGTAGCTGATTATAGATGAAGTCACAAATCTCCCGTGTTATTCATGTGATTTCAGCTTTCCTCTTTTCCCTGTTTAAATATCTCATGTCTGTTCTTACTACACCTAATTCCTTAGGCTACCTTGCTGCTCTGATCTCATTTCCAGGAGATCTTGCTCTTTCACTGAATTGGACTTCTTTCCTTCTGCTTCCCTTGTTCCATTCACTTTAAGAATATGACGATCATGTTTTTAATGTCTTTTGAACAGGATAAATAAAATGGAGTGCCCAGTTTGGTTGATACCAAATACTGTTGCATCTGCTTTCCATAATATTTCAAGGGTATTTTTGTTGAAGAAACTAATCAAAATTACAGCCCTGGCTCTTGACATCTTGTATTTGTTTAGCTATGAATCTTGACTGTGAGGCCTTTTTTTGTGTCTTTCTGAATCTGAACATAATTGTGCCCTCTGGAGCCCTTTTCTGCTTCACCATACCTTCTGCTCCTCCCTAAGAAACTTCCTGCTGCGTGGCTAGGAATGGTGGTGCTTGCTCTTGCAGCAGGCACCCACGATTGGAGGGAGGGGGACTGATGGATGTCTCCATGCTCTTTCCATATCACTGTGTTTACAGTGGCTTGTCCTTTTTGAACTTCTGTTGGGCTGCTCTGCTTGAGGGCTCTTCCCCACCCCTCCCTCTGTCAGGGCTGCCTCTGATGGATTCCAAATGGGACCTTTCCAAGCAGTAGGTTAGGGTTAGCTTGGTACTTTTATTATTTGTTGTTCATGCAGATGCACCTCAAGAACTAACAGTTCTGTTACTTTTTTCAGTTTTTATTGGATTGGAATCAAATAACAAATATGAAATCAAGAATTCACTGGGACAAAGGGTGTACTTTGCAGCAGAGGACACTGACTGCTGCACAAGGAACTGCTGTGGGCCAGCACGACCTTTCACCATCAAGATTATGGACAATCTGGGTCATGAGGTGATAAGGCTGGAGAGACCCCTCAGGTGTTCGTCATGTCTTTTCCCCTGCTGCTTACAGGAGGTGAGTCACTTCTCACCATGAGGGATAAGATCTTCTTTTATTAATGAATCTCAGGTGATGATTATGGATAGTCTCAAATCTGAGCCTTCTCAGAGCTCTTACTGACAGATGTGTAGTAGCTGCACCCTATGAGGCCTTGACTTTCAGGATGCTCAGAATCTTTCCTTCTTCACTAGACATTGATCTTTGCAGTGTAGACACATGTTCTGTAGCTCAGGAGTATGCTATTGATTTCAGTAAAGGTAGAAGTTGCATATTAGTTTTGGAATATATGTGCAGATTTCTGAAATTGTTTGCGGAAAACCTAGTGCAGCTTCATTGGAAAGCTGGGTTGTTATGGAAGAATAAGTTCTGTTCGGTTTGCATATTAGTGTGGATTTTTGTCTAATGAACACCTTAAAGCACAAAAAACTGCTTCATGTGAGGATTTTCTTTTTCCTGTGAAGATAGAAATTCAAGCACCTCCAGGAACACCAGTAGGTTATGTTGTCCAGAACTGGCATCCCTGCTTGCCCAAGTTTACTATTCAGGATGAGAAAAAAATGGATGTACTGAAAATTAGTGGCCCTTGTGTCGTCTGCAGCTGTTGTGAGGATGTTAATTTTGAGGTATGTAATGCTAAGAATTGTTTGTATACATCTTCTTTCAAACAGTATTATGATAGTAGTCTGTTGCTTCTCTTATTATAAGACAGTTATACTGTGGTAGATACAAAATAATTAGAACATAATCTTTTAATGCTAATATAGTCAATTCAGTTCTCTAGGTAGGTAGATCATTCTAGGAAAGCCTGGCAAACTTCCAGAAATCACATATGAAGGACACTCATCAGGGATCTGATTCTTTGTGATTGCATGCAAGTCTCTTAATGGAAATTTGCAAGCAAACTCTTTTTTAATCCATGGTGTTACTTCCTAACAGGAAAAAAAAAGTTATTATCAGTTGTTTAGCTGTTTATTAAGATGATTTTCCACAACCACTCATCCAATAATTTAATAGTCATTCACTAATCAAGTAAGCCGTAATTTAGACCTAAAATATACACTTGAATGACTGAAGAATTACAGCTTTTATTTAAAAACAATGCTGATTAATGCATTAGCATTTTCATACAAATTAACTAGTAGACTAATTAAACTTTGTTTAAAAGGATGTAAATTGCTGAAGCAAGTTTAGTCTGATTTTATTTTGGGAGATTACACTTTCATAAAACTATGAACACTGGGTGTAACTTTAGGAAACAATGCTAAGGAAGGGCTAGCCTCTCTTTTGGAACAAGAGAATGTTTATTTTTCCCTTGAGCTGTTCCTGGTGCATGGCAGGATATACTAATTCACTCTGTTGGCTAAAAGACAACACTCCCCACAGTGTGTGTGTGTATATACACGTGTGCATGTTTGCATGCAGTAGCTGACTTCCAATACAATTAAAACATTGAATTCCAGTCAGATTTAGAATTAAGTTGATGCCTGTGTTGCTTCACTCTGACTTTCTGGTGGTCTGGTTTGTCTTTCAGTACCAATAGTTGCATTCAGTGACTGCATTAATTTAATAACACAATTTAAAGCTTTCAAATGGATCTATAATGAAAAGAATTTGGGGATTCTTGAATAACTTCCTTTTTAATTTTCTGTTAAAACAGGTGAAGTCTTTGGATGAGGTTTCTAATGTTGGGAGGATTTCTAAGCAGTGGTCTGGTTTTTTGAAAGAAGCATTTACAGATACTGATAACTTTGGAGTCTCATTTCCAATGGACCTTGATGTAAAAATGAAAGCTGTCATGCTCGGCGCTTGCTTCCTTATCGTAAGTCTGTAGCTTACTGATATTTGAATATGAACTTACTTCATCTCAATGTTTAAATTGTGCTGATGAAGGTTTTGATTCTGGGCTTCTCAAAGTGCTTGAGAGCTTTTGGTGGATTTCTTGTGTGTAAAACTAACCCTGGAGGGAATATTTTGGATAATAAGCTTATTCTAGGCTACATGAAGTGCTGACTATATTAAGAGGAACTTTATACACAATCAGATTAACAAACCCTGTAAAAGACAACTCTACAAACTCATAAGCAGGGACAAGCATGTTTATGTGGGTGGTGAGACCAGAAACGTACAGAACAGCATTAGCCAGGAGGCTCAACAATGCCAGAACACCTGACTGAGGTGTTGAACTGGACAGATAGGTGCTGCATCCAGCTCCAAAAGTGCACTCTTTCTGTGTTGGTCAGGCTCCAGAAAGGGAGGAAACAGGCTTATGCAGCATCTGAGTTTGGAAACTTCTCACCAGCTTTTATTGCCCTGCGTATGGACCAGATTTTCCTTTGCTGTGTCTGTTTAGGTGCAAGGATGTAGGTGAAGAGTAGGGAATATGAAGAAGCAAGGACTTCAGACACAGTATATGGGTCTCCCGTATGTAAAGTAAATGGTTATGGTAGACTCTGGTTTGAGGTGAAATTGAAGGGACTTGAGTCAGGCTGAAGGAAGTTAGGATGGAAATCCTAAGTAAAGGAAGCATGCCTTCTGCTAATGATAAAGTTAAACATCTCAGTCTTTCACCACTTTTTTTTCTCCTTTTGTGAATGCCTTGTTTTCTCTACAAGAGACTCAGGGATTAGGTTGGAGAGAGGTACTTCCAGCTGCTTCTCATCAGATAAGGTTTCTGGGGGGAATTGCTTTGAATACCTTGCAAAAGAACCACAAACCAAGATCTAGATTTTAAAAGGATCTTTTGTTTCCTTTTTTTTTGCTTTTTATTTCCTTCCTAGGATTTCATGTTTTTTGAGAGTATTGGTGACAGCCAACAGCGAGCAGGAGTGTGGCAGTGAAATCTAGAACTTTGTATTTAGAAGGAAGAAAACAAACCACCCACTTCCCAGTGGATTACAGAGCTCCAGTGAGAATGTGAGAAGTGGAAGAAGTGGACCTCTTACACTTGTAATTATATTTCTATAAACTAAAGGCTTTATTGTCTAGCTTCTGGTTCTGTAATCTAATGACACTGTTGTATTCAAATAAGCACCTTTTATCTGTACAGATCAATTCTGTAATGTATAGAAATATATAGCAGCCTTTTTTCCAATAAATTTGGAATTGTTGTATTAAAAACTTAATTCTTAAAAAAAGAGATCTATTTCTTTGTTCAGTAATAATATAATAGCAGTCAGCCTAATAAAGAGGTTCTGATTGTTTCCTGTGTATCCTTCTCTGGTAGTTTTGGCTCGATGCTGATATTCTGTTGTTTCCAACTTACCAAGTATATATGTTCAAAGGGAAGTCATTTAAACAAACAGAACTATCAAAATTCACTTTAAAAATTATATTAATCTAGTGATGAGTCTGCTGTCATATGATTCAGTTAGTGTAACAGTTTTCCTAATTTTTGAAACTTAAGCTTTTGATTTTCACCAACAGAAGTTAGAGGAGACTGCTAAAAAGAAGCAGCTACAGGCATTTGTTTCTAGTACTTGCTGAAAAGCATCTTGCCATCAATTTTTTTATCAAGGGACCAATTTAAGAGTGAATGCAAATGTAAGCAAGGTATTAGGAACCTTGGGCTAAGGGAACATAACTGGGAGCCTATATTCATTCCTCCAGGTAACTCAAAATCTTGTGTGTATTGCTGTGCTTAGATGTTCAGTGTAAGGCTTGAAAGCATCCTCAGTCCAACCTGCATGCAAAGTTAGACAAAAACAATCACATGTGTCTCTCAGATCAAACTATATAGGGAAAATATTGATTATATGAAAGAAACCCTGGCTAAACCTCACAGATTTGCCAGAACTGGTGTAATAGCAGGAAAGAACTTCTACAGTCTTGATTCATTAAAGCACACAGGGACCACTGGTCTAGGGGAGCTTTCCATCAGGTGGCTAACGGGGTAGTTATGGTGCTGGTTCCATGGCTCTTTTGCCTTGCAAAATGCTTCACAGTAATTTTTTGTGAGGCTGAAAATATTACTTGAGAAGTCATAGCTAAAGCTACCAAGGGATAACTCTTCTGTTCACCAAACAGTGTGTTACCACTGTCATAATCTATTACTGTTTCCTAATGATATTTAATTGTGGAATGCTTATTCTTTTATTTTTTCAAGAACTTCAAGAGACAGTGTTTGCTTGTGCATTTTTGAAATTGGTTGTGCTAAATGCAGAATAGATCATTCTTTAAGCAGTTTGTCTATATTTCGAAGAACCCACAGTAGCATCCATATTTGATAAAAAAAAACAGGCTCTAGAAATTTCTACTTTCATCTATCAGACCATAAGCAATACAATGATTTATCTCTTATCCATATTCCAGGCTTTGGAAAACATGAGCACACTGCATGTTATTCAATTCCATCTAGGTTCGCGAAAACCGTTACATAAAACCTTTACAAAGTGAGATTTGCAGATGGATTTCTTGTGTTCTGTTAATGACCTTTCCATCTGTATCATCCCTGTAAGTTTTTCATCTCCAGCTGTTCAGAAGTCGCAGTCACTTAATGAAACCCTAGGGTCTATATGTCAGAGAAGAACATAATTTATATGATGTTTCTCAGTAAAATAATGTGTAGATAGTTTGGGTTTCTCAGAAAATGAAATTATAAGAAAGAGAGAAGAAAAATCATCTATCCCTTCAAACTCTTAAAACAAAACTGGGGTTTTGCTACTTGATCAAAGATGATTTTGCAAACTGGAGGAGGGCCACTGTTTTAAAGTATAGTATGTTACAGCTTGTCTTCTAAAGATGAACTCGGATGAGTTTTATAAAGGTGCTTTTGTAGACCCAAAGCCAGTCTATATATGCCTTAAATGCCTTGCCTTGGTTTTACTAGCAAGAATAACTTTCCTCAATGCTGAAAAACTGAGAACGGGAGCAGAAACTGAACAATGAAAGTTTTTTAGGAAAGAGAAAAGCAGTTGGTTTTCCTGTCTCTTCTGGAGAAATTTAGCTCATTTACTGTAGTTCGGGTATAGCTTATTGGGTATGCTGGGGTTGATAAAATCTTTCTTCAAGGAAATGTATTATAAAATGTCACGGCATAAATATTTGACTACTAATGGGCATTGTGTGAATAAGAATGCTAATGCTGTGTGACAGAAACACATAGGAAGTGATAAATGTGAATGGTGATTGGAAGATGCTGAGGAAGAAATTGTGGAGCTGGCAGGACTCACAGGAAGGGGAACTCTTGCAGCCAGGGCAAGGAAACAGAGACCTGCTGCACAGAGAGAAAACTAGGCCATGAGATGAAGAAGCCAATTCAGTCAAAAAGCAATTATGTAATGAGACTTGATGTTGGAATTGGTGAGACAGAAGGTAAGAAAGATGAAAAAATAAACATAAGCAACAAACAAAACAAAATCTGCTGCCCTTCTGGGGTGCAGTAACGAACCCAGCCAGCAGAGAGATGTGTTGTCTTATATCAGAGCTATGTAAGCTCTCTATACGTGCTTTCATGACACATGCCTATATATGCTGTGCCTATGTACCGGGTTGGATCACTCTAGGATTTGGATGTACTGTTCCACGTTATGCCTTTTTTACAGTCCTAAACTGAGCAACAGTATAGAACCTAGCCCTAGACCTCAAAAAATTGCTTCTGAAGCTTCATGTCACTTGTACATCTTCTGCTGACTGGATGGTCAACTAAATGTTGCTGCATTGTAGAGAAGTTACAAACAAGTAGGCTGAGCACCTAAAGCTTCTGTTGGGCCATTTGGTATAAGGCTCCTTTTGGAAAGGTATGTTACGCCATTCCTTACACTCTCTCCTTTTTCTCATCTTCTCTTTTCTTCTGTTGTTTGCTGACAGCAATATTGCAGTAACACAAAGCAAAGCTGCCTCCCAGGGGCCTCCTACCAGTGCACACAAACGCTGGAGAATCTTTGGGCCAGTGGACTGGTCATCTCTATGCATTTGGTTCTGAATGGAAGGCAAGGAAAAGAAGGGAAGAAACCCCAAACCTTTATATAAAACATAAAATGTAAGGCATCTTGATACCTATTTATTTTTCTCAGGACTTTTCCCAACCTTGTTTCTGTGATCATTTTGAAGAATCCTGAGTGTCATCTGCAAGTTAGAAAAGACACCTTACAGATTTTCTCCCAGAGAAACATTACCCTGTATTTTACAGACATTCGACACGCCGCTTGGGGTAGGTTTGTTTCCATTGTTTTCCTGTTAGCACTGATACAAGCAGGTCCGCGTGCAGTAGGTGGCAGTGCCGGCATGGAAATGGCAGCTGCAAGCCTAAGGCCGGCACAGTGAGCTTCCCTCTGGTTTTCTCTGGAAGAATTGCAGATTACACTATCTCTGAAGAATGTATTCCCTGCACGTGTGTGCAAAGCGAGATGTTTCCCACCAAAGCTTAAACATCTTCAGCTGCAAATGGAATGATGTGCCACTAGGCAAATAAAAAATGCACGTGAAAGTATGCGGGAACACACTGCCAAAAACTGTGTAATGCCCTTAAAGTTGTACTAGGCTTATAGCACATGCAAGAATTTGGGTCTGGGCTGTGATTTCTGACATAATTCATAGCTTTACAAAAAGTTATGAATGTATCACAGCAGTGTGCATCAAAGGAGTCAGGCTGGTTTTGTTGCTGGAATAATGGCATCGACTTACCTTTGAGGTGAGTTTGGGCCTTAGACACAAGACATGGCCATGACACAGGCTGAGAACCCCAGGGCCATGAACACTTGGGAAAGTGGACAAGAGAGAGGCAAGCCAGGCCAATGACTGTCTTTTTTTTAGTTTATTTGTTGGTATTTGAGCTTGCTGCTAGTGTTTCTGCTGGTTTAACCTTTAGCTGACCTAGTTATTGAACCAGAGCAACTGGAAGTAGACAAGGAAGTCAATATTTCTCCAGTGATAACTTGTACTGAGGAGCAATCAGGCCCTGCTGAGGTGAGCAGCATGCAGGGGCAGCCTGTGCTGGATGGGAGGTACATGGCCATAAGTAGCTGTAACGTGGGGCTGTGCTGGCTTATAGCCAGCTATGTGTGCCCCAGATGCCAGTCTGATGGTGTTTTGTAGCTGATGCCCTAGTTGCATCTTCCTGCTCTAAAGTGCAGTCCCTTTTGTGTGACTGTTCAGTTCCATCTGAATGCTGGAACTTTGTGGCACAACTGGCATTAGCACATCCTCCCAAAGTAACTGGGCTTGCATGAATGTGGCTTTGATAGAATGAGAGGGGATGGTCTCAAGTTGCTCCAAGAGAGGTTCAGCTTGGTTATTAGGAAAAACTTATCCAAAATAGTGGCCAGGCACTGGAACAGGCTCCACAGGGAAGGTATGTAGTCACTGCCCCAGGAGGTGCTCAAGAGAAGGGTAGATGTGGCACTGAAGCATGTGGGTTAGTGGGCAGTATTGGTGATAGATGGTTGAACTAAATGATCTTAGAGGTCTTTTCCAACCTTTATGATTCTATGATTCTATGCATTCTGTTTCACTGCAGCGCATCGCAACCTGAGCTGTTGTGTGCACTACTGTGGAGCTCAGTTCCACACCCTTTGCATTTTCTTTGTGACATTTCCCAGCCACTTGATCAGCTCGAGTGCTGTCCCCAGGTTTTGCTGTGGCTTTCCAGTCACGTGGTATGAGACAGAGCAATGCCTCACACAGGGAGCTTGGGCAAAATGAATCTTAATGATACAGGTGCAGCGTACGTGTGCCAGAAACCTGGACCTTAGCAGCTAAATCCTGTTGTCTTCCATTACTGCAGGCAGTCCTGCTTTTTAACTGACGCACAACAGTGACTTCAGTATCTTTTTTTCTTTTTAAAATCCCATTGAGTATGGCTGTACAATGGAGCAAAAGGCTTTATTGTTTCAGCAAATTTCTCATTTTTCAGGAAGCAGAATGTGTGGCTCCTGGAAAATGTAGGCCATTCAATGGACTGAGGCTAAGCTTGCCGGCATTTTGTGTCTGTATTCTGCTTGTTGCCAGGCTGGGTAGAAAAGAAATACAAGGAAAGTTGTTTAACACAGACAAGGGCTCACTGTGCCCTGTCCTCTCCTTCCACTGAACAAACTTTGGAAAGGCCATGAGAGGTGGTGAGCTAACATTAAAATGCACCAAGCAATAAAGCCAGCTATTGAAATGAACAAGAACTTACCTGTGTGTTGCAGCACATATTTTCCTGTGGGGGAAAAAAAAAAAAAAAGAAAGTAAAAAAGAAAAGAGCAAATAGTCAATATTTCCATGGTAGAGAA